TATAAACACGTTTGCGTTCAGAAACTCACCTAATTTGGTTTTATGGCTTCTCTAACTTATACTTTAATTCTCTTTTTCCGGTTAGCCTACCGAACCAGATTGGTGGATTGGCGCAAACGTCCCTTAAAAATAATAAATAAATAAATATCAATTGTTGACAATAACCCGGTTTTCAATTAAAAAGGTGTATGCATGTAACAGCAAATGTGGAAAACTTTTTAAATGCAGAGATCTGTTTAACTTATGCAGTTAGATTATGCATTTATATTTATAACATTTCCATTTATTATTGCGCTTACCATGGTTCTTAAATTTAAAAAAAAATTTTCTATTCGAATATATTTTCAAACTCAGCAATCTGATTGGTAGATTAGTTACCCCGTCGGTCACGTGATTTTCCAAATCTGATAACCTCTCAAAGCCGATACAGAACTTATCCACTATGCATACCGGTTTGGGGAGGGCCGACAGTATTTTTATTTTATAAACAATTTAAAATTTTTTTCTTATAAAATAAAATTAAATACTACTATAATATAATTCTTATTTTCAAATATTATTAAAAAAATTTTTATTTAAAATATTTTAAAATTTAAAAAATATAGATCATAATTATATTTATAAAAATTTCCAGGCAAATTTGCCTGGAAGATTAAGGGATAATATTAAAGGTGACATCTCCCTTATATAGAGATTTTCACCCACAAAGAACTGCCTTTTTTTTTTAGTAATAACAAATTACCATTGCCTGCACAATTCATCGTTATCGTGTTTCAGAGCTTTAACTATGACGTAGCTACATGTTTTTGTGGGCGATACTAGGGTTTCATGTATTTTTCATGAGAAATAATGACATTTGATTCAAAGTTTGATATTTATGTTGTACATCAAATTAGAACTTAAAATCCTGAATTTATTAGGGTTAGGGTGAAAGCTTATGTTAGGGTAAGAATAGGTATTAGCGGGATTATAATGATTTAATCTGATGCAAATATCAATTTGGCGCACATTTATATTATAGATGACAAAAGAATGATGCTAAGTGATTACAAAATTTTAACGAAATTTATCATTACGTTACAATAAAGTTGTAAGTTATGGACAAATAGAACTTCGTGCAAAAGTTCTTATTAATCATCTTATCGTACCAAATGGGTGGTTCTAACGAACAAAAGCTTATTTTGCCGACTGGTAAGACTATTTAAAATAACATTTTTTTCTTATAATTCATTACCATGTTTGGTTGAGCAAAGAACTTATAGTGGGGTTTTTTTTTCAAAATAAATAGTCCAAACTGGTCTTTTCATAGACAATGACTTTGTTGATTCAGTTGATGGTAAATGCTTCGGAACCGGCAATCCAACTACCGAAGAGGTAATTACTACCATAGCAGAAGCTTCTTCAAGAGATGTAGATTTAGTAGTAGAGGCTACTACTAGAGCATTTTACAATGTTTGGTGTCATGTTGATGGAAGAGAACATGGAAAACTATTGAATAAACTTGCTGATCTTATAGAACATGATTTGGATGATTTGGCTGCTCTAGAAGCTCTGGACAATAAGAAAGTTTTAGTGTTGCAAAGATGATTGATCTTCCGGAAGCCATTAGCTGTTACCGATATTTCGCCAGCTGGTGTGATAGGATTCATGGAAAGGTTGTGGCTTTTTCGTGAAATGAATGTTTGGCTTAGAATTAATAATATTTTTTTCAATATATTTGAAAGGTAATTGAAACGCAAAATAATAAATTTTGCTATACTCGAAATGAACCAATTGGTGTTTGTGACGCAATCGTTCCCTGGAACTTTTCTATTTGTCTTATGGCCAATAAAATTGCACCAGCTTTAGCTTGTGATGAATAGCAATCATTCTTAATAGTTTAACAATTCTTTATTTAAATACATTCTATTAATATATTTTTGATAGGCAACACTGTTGTCCTCAAAACTGCAGAACAAACTCCTTTGAGCTCTTTAAAAGTTGCTGAATTATGTAAAGAAGCTGGTTTTCCTAAGGGTGTTATCAATGTTCTTTCTGATTTTGGTACAACGGGAACCACTATGGCTAACCACATGAATATTGATATGATCACCTTTACCGGTAAAAATTGTTAATTTTTTTTTTTTTTTAAGAAAAAACCTAATCTGCTTTTTACTTTGTTCATTCTTACGTGCGTTTTTAAAAATAGGTTCTACTGAAGTAGGGAGGTCTATTCAGAAGGCCGCAGCAGAAAGCAACTTGAAAAGAACTCTACCAGGGCGGCCTTCAAAATTACGGGTCACATGTGTAATGCCACCGCCGCAGTTGCATATAACCTTTTTTATCGATAAACCAGATCTACATACTGCATAAATTGTATTCTTGATGTCTTCATATAAATAGCAACGCAAAATGCATCAAAAATGAAGCACAAACTTTAACATTCTCCTGCATTTGGCAGGACGTTTACTGATTTACACTTTGAAGCTAAAAATTAGAGACTTATTCTATTATCTCTCGTGGTAACGCACGTTCAATTAAACGTACAATTGTTAGATCGTTATTAAAGAACCACAAACTAAACTTTGAATTTAAGTATTTTATAGAAAATATATGAGTTCAAGACAACGTATGGAAACTAGTACTAAGATTTTTGTACTCAAATAAATCAAAAAGGTATTAAGAACATTTCACAAATGCAAATGTATAGTTACAGTTTTTAACAGCTAATATTAATTATTATTTATTTCAACATTAATTTGATCTTTGTAGTCATTTGCCTCATCCAGAAATGATAAATACATCAAATATAGCTTTCTATTATTTGAAGCCCAAGTTACCTGCCTATGTTTTTTTCGCTTTACTGCCTGTATTTCTTCCTCCATTTCTAATAATTTACTACATTTCATAACTGCACGGACAAAGTTCCAATTATTAGCTAACTTTTCAGTACGGGCCCGTTTGAATGCACGTTCAAACAAAGAACAGTTTGATTCAACATAGGTATGAGCAACTTCATCAGAATTTTCGGGATCATTATTAAGTATAGGGTTAGATTCATGAGTTTCAGAAACTTCAACAGACATTGCAGATGGTACAGGAAAGGTATTAGTCATGGTTTCATTATTTATAAAACCTTTTATGACAAGAAATGGGGATGTAGTATGGTGTTCGAATCGTTTCTAATCAACCTTCTACGGTTTTCATTAGGTAAATATACAGCTTTTCTAACCAAATGTTTACACAAAAGGAATCGACTGCCAACGAAAATAGGGCAACTACAGACCCAATGAGTAGTATCAGTAAAATATAATCTAACAGGGTTTGTTATTATTGGATTGATGCTCCGTTTCCTTTTATTTTTGTTAAGCCTATTATTACGCATTTCTATCTGTTGTTGGTCACTTGCACCAGCATAGTTCCATTCCTTTTTAAAATCCTCCTACCACCACGGCTCTACTATACTATTCAAAACCTGAGAAAATTATTCTTTTTGGGCTGGAATTACCTCTTTAAAGAGTGTCCAGAGAAGTAAATCCAGCCTAGGTCGATTAAAGCGGTGTAGATAACACCGTTTAAGGACACTTCAGTGTGCCTCAATCTTCATCGTGGTTTTACTAAAGAGAATAGTAGGTTTAGTCGACCGTGCCCATAGGTGCCACTATTGGGGAGAATACTAGTTAGTCCAGAGATAAGCCCATAATAACCGCAATGAATTTGTAACACAAAACTAGTACATCTCCTTTATTGCGTTGTGCCTTATATTTTCGGGAGACAAAATGTTTCCTTGGTCATCAATCGGTATAAGGGGATGTAGAGTAAGGTGTTTTTGTACCAGGTTTAATATTGTTTCTTGATGTATTTGTGGACATACGACATATGTTTGTGGGTTTCTGTCATCTTCGGTTGGATAGAAAGTTGGATTTATAAAATAAAATTCATTTGCTGCTCGATTGGCATCATAATTTATGGTCAACAATCTGGTGCTATTTGACCGTTTAGCCTTTTCTTGAAGTTTGAATTTTAGGGCCCGGTTTATGTGCCAAGCACATAATTGCACTACTGATGGCCCCCATACCGCTATTGTGGCATTGATTTCCGTGAAATCTTTGTCCATAAACACGAAACTTGGGTTGATATTGCGTACTTTCATAGCTTCAAAGAATTTTTTTAAGATTTCGCTATGTTTAAGGTGTATATTGTCGTCATCTAATTGTTTAGAGATGGGAATATGCCGAAAATTAGGTATGTTAGAATTATTATAATTATTTATAATAAAATATTATTTCTAAGCTAGAAACGACTGAAACTGAAAATTGGCTTATTTGATATGATAACTTTTTTTTTTTTTTAATATAATATATTTTTAAATATAGATTCCCAATTTTAAATTTTAACCGTTCTATGACAATGAATTATATTAAGCAGAGAAAGTACTTACCCATACTAATATTTTTTGTTGTATCAAGAACCAAATAAGCAATCGGAAATCCAGTTCCATCGATATCCGCTATTATACTATACAACTCATAACGCTCCCTCGCAGTGTTATACGTTGCATCAACGTAAATTTTACTAACGTTGATGCCACGACAATTAATTTCATTTAATAATGGGGTTGTGAATGCGATTGCTATGGACTCCGAATCTAGTATATCAAAGCACCGATGGAAACCCTGACCACTATGCTCTTCAAGTAGCATACGTGCTGATTCAACATGGTTTTCATGATGTTGAAAAAGCCCTTGACCCGCAACAGACTTCCAAAAATAAATCTGTTTTGGTGAATAGTTTTTGAGGTCAAAGCCTCTACGTCGCAAGCAATTCATAAGTTTCACAGTAGTAAGATGAGCATTTTTTTCAATTTCCTCTCATAATTTATCAGGCATTTCAGCACAAAGTTCCAGACGTGGATGGAGAAGCTCATGATAAATATTCACAACAGTAATATCAAGGTCCATATTAACTTGTATCATGATCTTGCCCTTGCAATCATAACGAGTTCGTCGTTTATGGTTGGAGTCTTTATACTCTCTTTGTGCCTCGTTTGATTGACAGCACATATAATAGAACCTGCCGACCTTATCTTCAAATTTTTTTGATATTTTAGCGAACCAAAAACTACAATTGTAAGTGTATATTTAGTTAAAGATATTTTTTTTGGCTGATATTAAAATTCGAAATATAATGATAACAATAAATAAAATAACCATAATAAATAAGAAAAAAATAATAGTAAAGGAAAAAGAAAAACATATGAAAACATTGAGAGGAAAAAAAAAGGATTTTGAAAAAATTTTTATATTAAAGTAAGTCCAAATTTCAATGTTAACCGATTTTAATATCAGCCATAACAGTAATAAAATCAAATAATAATGCAAATTTAAATATTACATAATACTTACTTCCATGAATAGTCGTCACCACATTCTATTTCAGCAACAACAAGGGCAGCAACGTCTTTTGCCGTCATATCTGGGTTATATCTATATTCACTAACAAACGGGCTTGATAAACCGGATTGACAGTTTCATTTACCATCAACTCGTTGATTTGGTGTTCAATTAAATCACCAACGTCAAGACAATCAACTTCAACACGTTCAATATCAACGTCTACTTTCTAAGGAATATTATGTTCGACACTTTCAGGTTGCTCAACCAAATTAGTAGTTGAATTTACGATACTAACTGGCAATTTTTCCTTACTCCTTAGGTCTCGATTTTCTTTACACTTTATACATGTCTTGTGGTGAGTATCTTTCCAGACGAATTGATCTTTGGAACGGTCGCATTTGCAATCAGAACAGATCATTATTAGTTTTGTGAATAAGACTTTAAAATATTTTAAGTTATTGGTGTTTATTAGTCGGTATGTGGTTTCAGTATCAGTCATTTGTTAGCGGTTTCGCTATCTATTAGTGGATTGTACCCGATATTTTTTTTTTTTTTTTTTTTTTTAAGAGTGAGACCTGATCTCAGTTTTTATTGATAACATTTTGTATTATTACAATTTAATATCAAGATATTTTTACATACTTTGAAATTAAGCTATCTAA